CCATTAATTTGCAGCTTGGCTATCTGACAATACAGAAACTGAGATGCACAAAATAGGTCCACACTATGTTTTTTTGCTGGAATTCTTAAATAGAGGGGATAATAGTTCGACTGTTAAAATTTTCTTGATAATTTATTTTTTTTCTTTCCTTGGATGAAGCTTAGCAGTCTTAGGTTTCTTCAAATCAGGCTATTTATTTGTAGCTCTGCTCAAAACTATTTCACGTAAGCGGCATTGTGACTGACTTAGCTTAAAGCCTTTAGATTTCATAACAAAAGCCCTTTGTAACTGATTGTAGCATATTTTTATTTGCTTAACGAAGTAAGGTTGGTGTTAGTTCCCGTTTCTCTCAACTGTATCTTTGCTTTTAATGTTGGCATGCAAATGTATAATCTCTTTAAGATACACCCTTTGTATTTAGCGTTTGAAAAGCAACATTAAGCATAAAAAACTACAGCTACTGTTGTTAATAAGCACACTGTAATGTTTCTTGGTGTCAAGAGGAACGAGCTGCAAGTGTGTGCAAAACTACAAAACAGTTTTTTAACCATAAGCAATTATATAGACGACTTACCTGCTGATTGGATGAGCGTAATAAACACCAACAGAATTGTCCAAATCATTGGTATCAGCTGTTGCATTACTACAGTCCAATACATCGTTAGGAAATATACACGAAATACAGGTATAACGAATGTGTGGAGGTTTAGGCAGCTCCGTAGAAGGACCGTGGGCAGAGATGACTGACAACACACAACCATCATGCTCGGCTATTTAAACCTGTCAAAATAAATCTGGGTTATATGATGCAGCAGTGGACAATTTCCCCTGCTGACCCACTGGCCCCGATATGTTTGAAACTCGTGAGCAGAGAACCTGGCCCTTCTTTGGGGAGGGGGGAGGGGTCGTTGAAAGCGACAATGATAAAGCAAGTCGTTTGTTACATCCTCTGTGTCGTGTCCTGTATCCTTTCACTTTGAGGACACAATGAAAAGTGATGTCATTGCCATGTCATAGGGCCAAGTTAATTAACACAAGCCTTACATCAATCCATGTTCAATCTAAATATAAAGATTATGTTGAACTAAAAATAATGCTCCATTTTTTTTCCCTAGAATAACCGCGAAATACACCTATGTAAATAGTTTTGTGGTGACTATTTATTGACTAATGTTTGACACGTTTGTGCATTCAAGAATAATGATATGTTATTTCAACATCAAAACCAGTTAAGTAGCATACCCAACGATATTTTACGTAAAACAAAGTATTTTCTCTAATTTTCAATCACTGAAAAAATATAAGTATAAATTTACGTTTGAGATTTTACACATTTAGCTTAATGGACCAATTTCTGTTTACAGCTTCCAGGTCTGGAACACAGACGTTAGAACAATGTATCATCTGTTTTGTGTGTTTTATTTTCTAATGTTATTTCTTTCACATGCTTGTCATCGATACCTTAAATTAATATCAATTAATGTTTTTCCTAAAAACGGTTGTTTTTGGCAAGTACAGTTTTCTGACGATTATCAGTTAAGATATAATAGGCCTCATTAACGGAAATGAAGCATATTTCTACATAAAGACACTCTCAGCATATTAAAAAAGGTCTTGGAGAGTCACATGGAGGTGAAAGAGTTATACGGTCTGTTTGATAGTGTAAAACATTTCGGATTTTGTAGCACTGAAAACTAGAGAAATAGAATACAATAACTTCTTTGATATTCTGTGATAGATTGTTCAGGTAGAGTATTCATGATGAGTATGCTGGAATGGACGGCAATTGCTTGTTTCAATCAAGTATACATAGTTTTATATTGTGATAATCTTTGTTTCAATCAAGTATAGATAGTTTTATGTAGTTCAAATCTTTGTTTTAATCAAGTATAGATAGTTTTATGTAGTTCAAATCTTTGTTTTAATCAAGTATAGATAGTTTTATGTAGTTCAAATCTTTGTTTCAATCAAGTATACATAGTTTTATGTAGTTCAAATCTTTGTTTCAATCAAGTATACATAGTTTTAAATTGTGATAATCTTTGTTTCAATCAAGTGTGAATAGTTCTGTGCATAGTTGTTCAGGAAGGCTTTCGAAACATCGTCCTCTACACTTGTGTTTTTTACAACAGACAGTTGCTGTCCATTCTAATATACTCATCAATTCATTTGATATTTTACAGCTTGGACAGTAAGTCGGTATTTGCAATTATACAGTAATTTCTATGCTACAAATATTTTCAAATACCTACTGAATAATAACATTAAAAACAATTATCTAAATATGATACAGCTCTTGATCCCCCTAAAGACGCCATCTATTTGTTTAGACTCCCTGCCATCAAGCTTCAATAAGATTGTGGTATTTCAACAGTAAAGGACTTTCACATTTTAGTAATTACATCACATGTTAGGTGTGGTGTTCTGCGCATGCTCTTTAATTTTTGAGCTTAATAACACGTAGCACAGTTGCGCCTTTGACAGGTAAATTCATAGATGGCTTAAAAGTGTTCGAAACAACGTATTTAAGCTTCAACCAATTACACAATTTTTAGTTGCATTTGAAGATAAATTTCATAAGTGAACACTTTATTTTTTTCTTAAATTTAAATGCATGTTTGCCTGCGTAGGATAAATCGCAATATATTACTTCTGTTGATGTAGAGCAACATTTCACTGTTTTAGGATGATACAAAGCCTGTAAATATTTCTTGATAACGTTATCAGTCAAATGTAAATGAAAACTTTTTTTTTTATAAAACTTCTTTATTTTCTCAACTTCATCATGAAACGCAAAAAAAAGAAACTGACTATTTCATAAGCTCGATGAATTTAAACATTTATTAAATCGTTCTTATGCTCAACAGGAATTTAACTCTCAAAACGAAAATAGAAAATCGAAAAAAAGCTGTTTTATGACAACAACTACTTACAAACTTATTACTAATATTAATAGTTTCTGTATTCAAAAACTGTAAAACAAATTCATTTTTCTCTTTACTCGTAAATTTAGTATTCGGATGTTGATTATTTAAATACTTTTAAAAATCATAAACATGAGATTTATCCTTAAAGGCCACAAAGGTATCATAATTGTATCTGTTAGCATATAACTGTTTAAATAGTTCAGGATAACTATCTAACCAAAATGTTTCATAATAACATTAAAAACAATTATCTAAATATGATACAGCTCTTGATCCCCCTAAAGACGCCATCTTTTTGTTTAGACTCCTTGACATCAAGCTCCAATCAGATTGTGGTATTTCAACAGTAAAGGACTTTTACATTTTAGTAATTACATCACATGAGAGAATGTTGCTACTGGCCAAAACTTGCAATTGTAATAATCTGCCTTGTAGTTGGATTAATTATTGCCTGTAAATGGTTAATATTACCCGATAGCTAACAGGACTATGAACCTTCATGAGAGTTGAACGTTGGAAAAGGATTTTATTGTGTTCTTGTTTTTGCGGGCAAAAGTTTAGGTGCTTCATGTTATTTTCCAGATTTTAATAAATATATTTGGGAATGTTAAGTGGTGATATTCATTGATGTAAAGTAGTAATTGAGTGATTAAAATGGAAACACCATTTATTAATATTAGGTTTTTATGGGGTCGATTGTTAACTTGCTTTGTATTATTATGTTTAGCGCTTTCCTTTTTCTTCTTAAGCTGCTATTTTCTAAAATTAATTTTTTAATGGTTCGAATTATTCGAGAAAGATGCAATTATAATGCTTAATGAAATTCAGAAATTTCGAAAGGGTTTTTTTACTTGTAGAAAAAATAGATGGCGTGTTATTTTCTAAATGAACGTATAAATTATAATTTCGTTCCAAGTGACTTAGTGTCAAATAGACATTATAGGACCACAAGATAATTTTTAAAACATTATAATTAAGTTTTAAATTAAGATTATAGAAAATTTTACAAAATAATTTGAAAAGTGTATAAGAGAATTTGAAAGAAGTTGTTTCAGGATTAGATTTTAAACATCTAATCGAGGCTTTCATGACATTTAAGATTTTCAACTAATCCTTAGAGGTTAAATTATGTAGAGTGCGTTGAGATGCTTGAATAGCTATTGCAAAAATTAAAAAAAAAACACATCTTTGTAGTCTCAAGAAAGTGCCAATTTTGATAATATAGTTACTGAAATTTCAGGTATAGCTCTTTCAGGTTTTCATACTTTTAGCCCTGAAAATTTGAAACAATTTTATTTCTTTGTTCTCAAGGACAAGCTACACGTTAAGCTACCTTTCCTGTGTCCTGTGTGAAACCGGATAATAGAGAGAGTATAGTAATTTTGAACAAAAAATATGACATTAAAAAAGTATCGACAATATTAAATGATAACAATAAATTAGAGTCATATTCTACGTTAACAGAAAAAAAGCTTACAAAATTATATTTTAAAAATTAGAAAAGAAGGGTTAATATATGAAACAATTTTGGGTTTCCATTATGGAATTCTTTATATACTTTAGTCTAAAGCAACAGCTTATCAATAGGTATTCTAGCCTTTTGTAAAAAATTATTTCAACATAAAAAATAGTTTTGAGTTTTTTTTATGATATTTCTAGACTAGCTTTGGACGAATAATATACATATAACCAGTTTGGGTATTGAATCATTATACACAAATATATATTTAAAGAAAAGAGTTAAGTAGTAATATAATTTTTCAAAATTCGGACGTTCTTAAAGGTTTAACAATACCTGTATTTATCAAAGAATCTAGTTTATTTTTCTGACTGGCGTTATAAAATATATATATAGAATCTGTATGAGGTTAAGTAAGTTTAGATAAAATATTTCGAAGTTATTATGAAAATATTTGGTTAGAATGTTATCGTGAACAATTTCAACCACTGTCTTATTATACGTTTATGATACCTTTGTGGCTTTAAGGATAAATCTTATGTTTATGAATTTAAAAGTACTTAAATAATCAACATCCCAATATTAAGTTTACAACTGATAAGAAAAATGAATGTTTTACCGTTTTTGGATACATAAATGATTAATCTAGGTAATAACTTTGTAAGTAATTGTTATCACAAATCAACTTTTTTTCAATTTTCTATTTTCATTTTGAGAGTTAAATTCCTCTTGAGCATAAAAACGAGTTAATATATGTTTGAATTCATCAAGCTTATGAAATGTTCAGTTTCTTTATTGCCTTTCATCATGAAGATGGAAACATAAAGATGCTTTACAAAAAAGTTTTTCCTTACATTTGGTTGATAAAAAATTACAGCCTTTCTATAACCTGGGGACAATGAAGTGCTCTACATAGAAACAAGTAGTATATTGTGTTTTACAGTAAACAGGCAAGCATGCATTAGTAGTATATTGTGTTTTACA